ATTTAGTCTATCTCGCAGTGTCCAGAGTACGACGAATAAATCAACTACGAAGGATTGTTTTCGATGATGATTTTAATGCAAACGATGATAACACTGATATTAGCATCATTAATAAAAAACTCTCTGGTTACAAACAGCAGGACAAAAAAAAACAACGAGAATTTGATATTGATGCTGAAGTAATAATCGCATTAAAAGAACAACAGAATAATCACTGCGCCAGTTGCAATTGTATAATGCACTGGCAGTATTCGGATAAAGACCCTCGACAATTCACCGTAGACAGAAAAAATAACAGCCTTGGTCATGTCAGAAACAATGTGATGTTGACCTGTCTTGAGTGTAATAGACGTAACGGAGCTAGTTAAGACCATGTGGCGGTAATTGAGTATCGTCCGGAATAACTTGTAGTTGTTCGCGTGTAAAACCACGCTGAGGTGCAGTTGAATCCAATCTGTAGATTGGAGGTCTACCAGTTGATCGCGTTATGGTTGAAATTTTATGCGTAGTAACACTCCATATAGGATCAGTAGCTCTTCTTTTACCGCCTTCAAGCTCTCCTGGTTCGTATAAATATCTCACAGTAACATCACCGAGAAGTGGCTGAGTGCTAACCCGCTGCGGTTGTTCGGGAATATATTCTTTTTTTATTGCAATATTTGGTTTCATATTAATAGTTCGAGTAATCTCGTTATTTAACGCTGCAACTACACTCGGTAACCTTTGGACCCATTCACGAGATCGTTTTTCTTGGATGAATTCTTTTGCATATTGATATCCAAATAACCGTTCTGCAAGAGTTCGATTAAATCGTTCTACAATTGCCTGATCACGATGTAACGCAGTATGTCCCCGTCGTATTGTAACACTATGAGTTTTCATTGTTGATAGAACAGCACCTTGAAACTCTTTGCCAGGATCAACTTGTAATAGATTTGGCCATCTTAGAGGACCTCGTCTATAAATCCTTTCAAATGCAGAAGCGACTTCAGAAGCTGACTTTGTTTTCAATGGTTCTGCTTGTTTAAATCGACTCGCAATATCAACTACAGTTAGCGCGTATTTGTAACCATGGTCATGTGGTAAAAACAATAAATCAGCCTGATGAACTTCATTGGGTACGGTAACATCAAAATGAGAATAATTAATTTGTTTAGGCGGTGGTAGATAAATTTGCCATATAGCCTGTTTGGATAACCAATCTTTTGCAGTGGATTTTTTCACTTTTGCAGCGTTAGCGAGTTTACTGATTGCTGCTTTACCCTTCCAGTATCCTTTCGGAGAATAATAAATAGATTCCATACTATAAAAACACTAGTGTTTTCAATTACCAGCACCTAACACCAATTTGCCTTTCATAGCTGATTTGACCAACCATGAAGCCAATTTTTCTTTGAAGGATTTATCGGGAATAGCATTTAACGCATGAATTAATTTTACATCCGCGATATGTCTTTGTTGCAAATTATTGCTTTTATATGCAACATCATGAGCATGACATGCCTTATCAATAGCATTTATCGGATACTCACCAGGCCGGGGCTGATTTTGATCATCAAGTCTGATATCTAATCTCGTTCCGGGACCACAGTAGCTATATCCTGGAAGGTGTTTTTCTCCGGGGTATTTTGCCCATGGGGTTCCGGGGAGTTTTCCAAGTTTTGCGGCAATATCACCTCCGAGTTGCTTTTTTTTAAAAATCGAAATTTTTTTGTACCACATGTTACACACTTACCAGTAAGCGCTAGTCTATTGTTTTTAGTTGTAATGGTTGTCTGATCGGTTGTATCAGTACGCTGTTTACACTTAACACAATATAGATCCATAATTTATATATAGAGTTATGAATATAATTGATTTTTCAGCGACTAAAAGAAGAGAACCGGTAAAACACCACGCAGCGCTTCCGAATTCTGTCCGTGCCATTATAATCGGACCATCTGGATCGGGCAAAACACAATTGCTGCTTAATTTGATAGTGCGATTTATGAAGTGGGATAAATTATATTTAGTTGCCCCATCCGTAGATGATCAACGGTGCTATGAAGTGCTAAAAGATTTTAATGAAAATGCATCAGAACTTAAAGGTGAAAGTGTAATTGATTTTATAACAGATATTGATGATGCACCATCAGTAGAAGATCTCGATGGAGACATAAACAATCTTGTAGTGTACGATGATGTAATGTTAGATAATCAAAAGAACCCTGCTAGAATATTTTCCCGAGGTAGGCATAAAAACACCGACGTGATATATGTCACTCAACGATATACTCAAATTCCAAAAGTGATTCGCGATAACTGTAATATTCTTGCTGTATTCAATGGCGTTGATACACATACGCTACGAAATATTTGGCAAACATGGTGTTCCGATATGGACTTCAATGGATTTAAAAATTACTTTAGTCATGCTCAGTCTGTCCCATATGGATTTATAACAATAAATTTACACGACCCTCGGTCACGATATCGTATTGGACTTGATCAAATATTTGGTTAAATAATTTGTATTAATCAGCAGCAGGGAGGGTGAAATGACAACATATTTGCGACGTAGATGGCAGCAATTTGAGGGTGGTTATGACAATGTATTTGCGACAAAATTGCTAAGGCTCCATTTGTAAAATGGGGTCTTTAATTTTTTTTTGGTTAAAATATGAGATTTCGTAGGAAGGTTCCATTTGGCATTCTGAGGCTTTAATCAATTTTGTCGCAAAAATTTGTAGACGTAGATGGCAGCAATTTGAGGGTGGTTATGACAATGTATTTGCGACAAAATCGCTAAGGCTCCATTTGTAAAATGGGGCCTTTAATTTTTTTTTGGTTAAAATATGAGATTTCGTAGGAAGGCTCCATTTGGCATTCTGAGGCTTTAATCGATTTTGTCGCAAAAATTTGTAGGGTTCACCCTCCCTGCTGCTCTACTACTACTACTACTACTACTACTACTACTACTACTACTACTACTACTACTACTACTACTACTACTACTACTAATATTAATAATAATAATAATAATGGATAACGTGTAAGACGCTCTACAAAGATAGCTACCTCATCAGTACAGGCGCTATACACATTTTAACTAGAGAAGCTCTACATTGGTATAATAAAATCCCATTGGCTCATTGGAGCTATTTTACCAATCCTAAAGAAGAAATAGCCATTACTTTTAACAAACATCCATATATACAAACATGCAAAAAAATACAGCTATATGGCTTCCACAATAGCCATCCATGAAATTTTATTTTAGCTAATACTTTAGAACAGATGTTCAATAAAACACTTTTTATGGTTGTCACAAAAAAAGGTAAGAAATAACTTGGTTTGGCCTTAGAACAGGCGTAGCTATGATATTTTGCGCCCAGAGACGAACTATAAAATTGGCGCAGGCGTAGCTATGATATTTTGCGCCCGGAGACGAACTATAAAATTGGCGCCCCAGCCCTCTCCCCTTTAATCACATTTTTCTATTTTACTTATTATAATGTAACATTGTAAGCCTCATTTTGGCGCCCTGTACCTTAGCGCCCGGGGAAATATGTACCCCCCTGCCCCACCCTAGCTACGCCTCTGCCTTAGAACTATTTGATAATTTTCGTCGTATATGCGTACGACGTTACCTAGGGTGGATATTTTTTTTTTTTTGATTAGCGACTGAACTAGCATGTATGTCGTAGTAGATCGTTTGTGTGTGTGTATATATATATATATATATATATATATATATATATATATATATATATATATATATATATATATATATATATATATATATATATATATATATACTGTAATGAAATTAAGGAGATCTCTTACGAGCATGGCCTATCGTGCATCGGACCACACTTCCTTTGTTTTCACCCCGAACAAACTGATGCTAGGTCGAGAAGTAATTCTCCCTACGGATCTTTTACTTGGCAAAACCCCAGACGAGGGTTTAAAGAGTCTGCCTCAATTTGTGGCGGAATATAGAAAGGCAATGTGGGTATCCAACGAGGAAGCACGAACAAAAATAGGCACCGCTATTCGGCATCAGAAAGTCGCCTATGATTTCAAAGTTCATGATCAGTCTTTCAGCGATGGTGACTTGGTATAGTTGCACCATACTCTAAGAAAGAAAGGGAAATCACCTAAATTACAGGTGAAATGGACTGGACCATGGCGAATTGTTAAGAAGAGTAACGGATTTAACACATCTGATCGCCATGAGAAATCATAAGACGACTCAGATTGTTCACGTAAACCGATCAAAACCATGCTTTGTTCGGGCTGAGAGTGAAAATCAATACACTGATAGCCAAGAAGAAATGCACGATAGCAGTGATGACAAGGACGAAGTATGGCCATATCCAAAGGGCCAGTTTAATGGAACGACGAAGAGAGCGGCGAAGAAAAACCCCTGTGAGATATTAAATTGAAGACATTATTTTTAACTGAGTTCAGTAATTATTGTGTTTATAACACTGAGTGGTGATTTAAAGCAAATGAATGGTTGGGTAATAAATGTGTCCCCGTGATTATTAATTTTGGTTGGGTATAGGACAAATCGTCAATCGGGATGAGATGCAAAGCCGCACAGTAACATCAAATTAAACTGTGCCCTATGGCCGTGTAAATATAGTTGATCCAGAAAAAAAAAATGATGTCAAGACTTTTTTGGTTCTTATTGATAATTTGTATGTTTTGATTGTATGCAAAGTTAGACAAGAACAGTTCTTTTTTTAAAGAAGTTTTTTTGCTGCTTGAATCCAGAGTCTGGTAAAAAAAGATCGAATTGTTTGATTTGTGCTGTCACTTGAGCAGACCTAACTTGAAAAGGAAAGTGTTTGTGTTCTGTGCGATTGTTTGGGTATTAGTGGGTTATTTTTTATCACTAGAAAAAGTACTTGTGGTGAAAAGTTGAGATAGGCAGTGTCAGGTATCAGGTATATAGATTCGTCTGGACGACAGTTGTGTTGTAGCCAGTTGGGCGTTGTTAGTCACGGTTGACTTGTTTTTGAGGGATCGAATCCATGACCTTCCGCGTCTGAGGCGGACGCTCTAACCACTAGGCCACCGGAGCGGTTACGGAGAGAAAGTGTTAGCCAGTTTCCAAGATGCCGTGGTCAACGAGTAACGAATTCAGACCCATTCGGCATGACTGTACCTGTCACGATGTAGTACTTTATAGAATCTAGAGATGTACATTGGTGTTGTGACTGCAGTGGCATTATTTATGGTAGGAAACCAATAAAGTACACAATGGAATAAATTAGAAAGGACTCGGCAGATACCGTTTTATTCGCGATGGTGGCAAATGTGATGTAGTTTTACAGGAATTATGTTCCTTGAAAAGGTAGATTGACTGGCCTAAGGGGGCGTAGTTAAAATAGTCCCCTGTGTTAGGGATAGTTGTAGGGATTTTGACGGTGCGAACTGTTGACGATACGGAAAAATTCATGTAGAGAAATTATGCTGATGTGCGGCTGATGGATAGATGGCAAGTAAATAATGTGGTCTTGCATTGATTTGAGTAAAACTTATGTATAGAACGGACGCGTCAGGCCTTCCAACATACAACTGAAGTTGTATAGAAGTCTTTGGAAATTTGGGGTAAACATATAACTTCTGACGGGATTTCGCGCTCGGTCAAGCAAATAAGCAAAGACCCCTGGCTTGTAACAATATATATATATATATATATATATATATATATATATATATATATATACATATATATATATATATATATATATATATATATATATATATATATATATATATATATATATATATATATATATATATATATATATATATATATATGCGGGTATGTCAGGCTGTCGGTCTGGTCGTCTGTATGTTTGTATGGGGATGGAAGCAGGGGCAATCACACAAAACTCTTATCGTACAATCTTGTTGCACTCGTGCCGTAGGTTGCCTACCCCTGCAATAATATATAGGCCTATATGAATTAACCATTTGGAAATAACAGAATCTCAATTTGGGATAAATTATTACCAGCTAGATATTTACAATTATAAATTTGTTTACATTAAAGTCAAAATTTACAGTTCTACAATTCTCATTACGACTTTTTAAATGGAACGTTTCCTGTAATTTAGTTAAAGTAATAATGTCGAAGAAATGTAACAAACATGTTAATTCAGTTTCAAAAGTTTATTCATTTGAAAATTTTTGGATTTTTCAAAATACAATATTTTAGAAATACCAATTTCCATTTTTTAAAACTTATTTCGATAAAAATGCAAGCAACGCACAATTTTATTTATTATATTCTTAAATACTTGTTTTTCTCACAGATTGCTGACAAACTGAAAATTTACAACATATTGAAATAAGCAAATAATGCTAAAGGAAAATTTCATGTGAATAATTCCTGTAATGCAATGAATTTGGGGGCAGAGGACAGTTTTCATCTTCAGAAACTTTTATTAAAATGTGCAAAAATTCCATTGTTTCCTGTTTTTATCAATACATATTTTATTTTTTAGCATGTCCCGAGAAACAACCCCTGGCTATTTTTTTTCTTTATTATTGTTATATTAATTAATTCCTCAGGATGATAATGGATGTACATTATCAGGACATGTGTCATTGAAACAATGATTTCTATATTATAGACTGAAATTCGACCTTAAATTCCAGCTTAAAAATATGATCGAAAGATCCATTTTTATAAATATTCATGCGTTCATGAATTAATCAGACTCTTGTGACGTCAGATAATAATAAATATATTTTTAAATACTAGTTTCATTTATTGAGGGTACTTATTTAACTTTGTACCGTCATACAAATCTGACCACCTATTGGATTTTAAACATAATTATATCTCTGAATCCTCACAATGGGTTATCTGTTTCGCAAAATGCATCTGTCACATCGGTGTAAGTTTGGAGGTAACATGCCACCTGGGGATAAAACGTATGCTCGATACGTGCATCATACTTAGTTTAGATGGCAGTTACTGCAGTATTGTTTTGTCTTGTCCAACTGCTTTTTTCCAGAATGTAAATATTTTGCCTAATACGCAGGAGAAAGAAAGGAATGCTTTCCTTGTAAAGATGTAGTTTGTCTTTGCTGTTGGATTTAACATTCTTTTGCACACGATATGCCTATATATGCCTATATAAAGTCATCGGGAAAAACCACCAAGCTTTCTTAAATACCCACGCTATTTGAGTTGAGACTCGAACTCATGTGGGCAGAAGTGAGTAGTGTAAGTGCTTGTATGGATCACTCCCACATTTACCTCTGTGTATCCTGTGCCCATATAAAGTTGAATCTCAGAACTATATACGTTACAAGCTAACGCGCGACAGAAGCCACAATATACCAGTAACGGACAACGAAATGCATCTGGACCAGATCTCATAGACTGGTTGATTGGATTGCACTCTGTGATTACATAAGATGATAAAGTCCTATAAATATGTTCGTGTACGGAGACGAAGGACTATAGTTTCTGTAACGCATGCGTCAAAGTAGCCAGGGTTGGGTGTATACATCAATTAATATTGGGGTAAGGTGTGACTGATTGATATTGAGCGGGAAGAGGGTTTCCCCCTCCTCACGCATTTCGAAAAATGTTGCATGTATTCATTATTTTGGTAACATCTGGCTTTCTTAGGGTTTACTTGTGTAAATGATTTCACTTGCTTTTTCTACTAAGTTTTGCAAACTAACAATAAATGTGCATGGGACAGAGTCCAAAAATGAATGGCGAATCGTCAGTATGCAGAGTCTCTTACTTAGCAGCAATAACTACGAGTGATTGCACGGTTCATTAACGAAATAAATGATTTACAGGTGTTTGGCGATTGACTTCACCTGGGACAAACATTAACTAGTGCTATCAAAACTGTAATCCACTTTTCGATACTTGGGGATTGGTTACACAAAGAATGATTAAACAGCAAAATGATATCATAAATGTGAATAATTATAAATGAATCAATATTCTAGTGTATATTATATATGAAAATAAAAGCAGCCTGGAGGGGGGGGGGCTGCGAATCGTACTCCGAAGCTGTCGTCAGCCTCTTAGGAACGTGATGAAATGCTTTAAGGAATGCTACAGCGTAACATTGGAGAAATCGGTATTTCCCGATAAGATCAATAGCTGACGATATTCTGCCCATTTTACCTGGACGACGGGAAACCTGGTAATTTCTCCTATGTGCGATCACCAAATTTTATAATTTTTTAATCAGGCACACAGTAGGAAGTCAAAGACAAATCATAAACAGAAAGCATGATGTGCGTTCAGTTTATGTATGTAATGTTCGTAAAAGTATCTTTATTTCAATGAATGTATTTCAACTTCCAAACAAAATTTATAAAGTTAACGGTAAATCTACCTGCTGACAACAAACTATCTAATATAAGTTCTGAGAACCGTTTTATTATCATTAACACTATTGCTGCTACATGCCCTGAACAAAATAATTGATATGTCATTACTCCCAGGATAAATTGAACACTTAAAAAGGAAATTTTTTGTCTAAGTTTGGCAGAGACCATTTTCCCGGTAATGTCACATTTTAATTGGCCGTTGCTTGCAATCAAGAGGATCCACTCAACTGTTTGCACCATATGGAAAACCTCCAGATTTAAATCCAGCACAAATCACGTTTGATGCAGAGACTCAAAATCCATTGTCTGTACCTTTGAAAAGCCAGAGAAGTGAAAATCTACCTTCATAGTCTGTAAATTTGAAAACCAGCGATACTCTGTATGATCATGAAATGTTATGTAAGATTATCTAATTTGGTTGGCTCTTTGAATTCTGTAGCCAATGACAACAATCAGGAAACGTTCTGCTCATTCCCCACCCCAACCCATAACAAGCCCCATGAAGACTTCAAGAGGCTAATAACAGTCTCTTGCATAATTCCCAGATCGGCCAGAACACCCCTATCCAAGTGTTAGCCACTGTCTCAGCCTTATAATTTTACATTACATCATCTTATCACATCACCAGTGGCAGTTCCTCCCTCAATGGTCATTATCATATAAACCCCATTGCAACACTGGCAATGTGTACCTACAATAACTCAAGAACCTCAAGTTGGGCATAAACTAAAATAAATTAACATTTAATTCTATTCCAGACCTGACAACTGACCTATTGCACGTAACATTTTTACAGTCCTTCTTCTCTACTGGGTAACCTTTGACAAGAACTTCAAAATGAGTTAGTTTTTTGTAGGTGTTTTAAATTATGATTTATTAGGGGTTGAACACAGTGAAAATTTAAGTTTTAAGACACGAATGCAGAGACTATAAAGGAAAGATAATTGTGATCTGAGTCCGGAATGTGTTATATTCATAAACGTTTAAATTGGTATGCCAAGTTGATTATTAAAGAGAGACACATGAAATTTTTATATGTATATATTGACTCTAAAAAAGAACTATGAAATTGAAAATTACAAACTTTACGTGATCAAGTTTTTAAATTGAACTTTAACAAAATAACAGTATTAAAATTTGTGTAAAAAATGCACAAGTATAGACTTTGTCGGGTTGATACCAAATATTATCGACTTGTAACTACTCCTATATCTTTTAAAGTTGCAATGGTGGATCGTTTTAAATTCTGTCAGAGAAAATATCTTTTAAGTCAGAATGAGACCTTTTGTTTCCAACACGTGAAGGCATCTTTCTAGTTGATATTGTGCCTTTAGGTCATGTGAACTATTTATATATAGGTCCAAGCAGTTGATTGATGCCTTTATGATTATATAAGTAACACAAATCTTCTTGCATGGCTTTCAGTAATTGTTTATAAAATTAATTATATGTGTTACGACCATGTAGTTTGATTACCTGTGTGTTAAAATTTGAATCCTTTCTATCTCATTTTTGCATCATTATACTTTATTATGACGATGATTATATTCACAGGGTCTGATATTTTGAGTGAAGCGTCATGTTTAAGCAATCTTTTTAGATTGATTTCTGATAAACAGGCTAGATAGACGATTGGTTGTGACCGAGGTCATTTCTAGTTATACTTGTTTACACTTGATGAGATTTCGAAATCACCACC